GTACACAAACACACACACACACACACACACACACACACACACACACTTGTACTTGTTGCTCACTGACAAAACTGGTCACGTGGGGCTCCCCTGAGAGAGGGGAGAGAAACTCAAAAAATCTTGGAAAGATGACTCAATTGGCTATTGAACCGCCCAACGGCCGACACCCCTCTGAAATCCCCAAACGCTGGGTGGACTTGGAAATGATCCCACTTACGGGCTCACCACACCTCAGTAAGCGGGTGAGGACAAGGTGCAGAAAAAGGATAGACGGCATCAGGGTATCCGTTCCCGGATCCAATTGCATTCACCCCTGCCCCCAGTGAAGGTAATATTCGCTACTAGTGTGGGTGGCTAAATCAGAGTGGATCTGACACAAGCTTCACTAGCACCATGATTACAAATGAGTTAATCTAGCCAGAAGCAGTCCATGGTCAACAGGAATGTACAGTATACCTTAAATAGAAAGTATATGAACCCTGTAACACACACACACACATACACAGACACAGAACTCACCTGACGTTCTGTTCAGCTCCTCCAAGTCACACAGCTTTCCGGTGAGCACCTGGAAGTAGAAGACAATACATGCACGTGCACACACACACGTTCCCGTTCAAACTCTCTACAACACAGAACAACGTATCGACCCACGGGTCCGCACAGAGCTCACTCAACGGGGACAAACACAAGACTAACAACACCGGAGGAACGGACGAAATGTAGCAGTAAGCTGGATTCAGAACCCAGTGTGAGCTCATGCAGGGATGAACGCTAATCGCTGCAGATCACGCGCACGCGCACGCGCGCGCGCACACACACACGCACACAGACACACACACGCAGACACACACACAGTGGTGTACTTGGTGCCGGAGCGCCAGTAAGGAGCACACCACAGGCAGGAAAGAAGAAACTGACAAACACAGACACAACGACACCATAATAGGGAGGTTTCGCTCTATGTAGTTACGTATGAAAATCCGTATGTCGTACGCGCCGGGGAGCGAGGGCAACTTTCATACGTAAATCTTTCTACGGATTTCCGAGGGAAAACTCTTTCCTATGTTGGGTCCTCCGTCGGACTTTTTGAAATATTTTTCGCATTTTCCGGATTTATCCATGGCAACGTTCAAGCCACGCGAAACACAAGGTACACACACCGTACACCACGTGCAAAATAAAATGGAAAACGCGGTTTCGGTTCGTGGTCCATGCGGTGGGCGCATGCAGCCAACGCGTCTCCAAAGCAACAGGGCATGTTTACCAGTCGTGGAGAAATCAAGTAGAGCGAAAAGTCGAAAACCCAACAGCGCTGAATTTTACGTATGAAAATTACGTGCAGTTCCTACGTCATTTTCATACGTAATTCCATAGAGCAAAACCACCCTATTGACAGCGTTTAAATAAAGTAGCGACATGTCCATTCAACTTGTTCTCTTGATTGCGATCCTAAGATTGTTATCTCCTCGCCGTTTGTTCATATGCAATAGAATTAAAATGAAACACACAGGTATGCATGTAGACAACGGGGGGGGGGGGGGGGCAGTCCCGGAGTGAGCTGTATTCCCGGTGCTGAGAGGCGGGCGCACACCCCTGCATGTCTACTGATGGTGCTCAGTGCAGATCACCTGCTAGTCAGTCCCGGAGTGAGCTGTACTCCCGGTGCTGAGAGGCGGGCTCACACCCCTGCATGTCTACTGATGTTGCTCAGTGCAGATCACCCGCTAGTAAACTGGTAAAGTGACACATACAGAAGCTCACGGAAATGAGCCGGCTGGTCCTATTCTCTAGCTAATGGACGGGAGTCTGATGCTCCTGTCATGCAAGCTCACAGGCCGGAGACTGATCATGGTATAATGCTCCTGTTCTCTAGCTCAAGCCAGGGTTTTAACTTTTGGTTTATTTATTTAATGTCGAAAAGCAAACAGGCAGTGTTGCCTTATTACACGAGATCGACTAAAGGCTCACAAATGTAAGGAAAAGGAAAAGATTAAAAGGAAAAAAAAAGAAAAATAGAGTAGGATTTAAGACAGCAGAGGAAAGATTGCATAATTATTCCCGTAGCTATGCAGAAGACGTTACTTCAGTAATGTCTGGCGCTAGCCAGGGTCCACACAGCTTTAATTTGGTATTTGTGTGTTTGTTTGTGTCACGCCTGGCGCTATCCCGTATCTGTCCCGTACCGTACCAGCAAACACAGCTGGCCACATACAGCTGGCCGCAATATTCAAATAGGGCTTTCAAACGCAAGATCATAACGTGAAACAACTTGGAAGAATGGGTATGAATGCTAAGTGTATGGGGGAATGCATGTAGGGTGATAGTGCGGGTTCTAATCCCAGGATATGCCTAAAAAAAAGGAGAATTGAAAAATTTATAACATCCCTATGCTTTTTTTGCCGTCATCAAGGCGGTAGACGGTGTCGTATTACCCTCGATCGTACCTGTCCCGTACCTATCCCGTACCGTACCGTACCATCAAAGACGGCTGGCCACAATGCATATTCAAATAGGGCTTTCAAATGCAAGATCATAACGTGAAGCAACTTGGAAGAATTAGTATGTATGCGAAGTGTATCGGGGGATGCATGCACGGCCCGCGATAGTGCGGGTTCGAATCCCAGGTTATGTCTTTAAAACAAGGAATTTTTTTAAGAATTTAATTATTTGATCAGTGAGCAAGGGTGATGTCCCTGTTCTCCAGCGAGTTTAGAAAATAGATAAACGCAAGCGTGCAACGTGACAGCAGTTGCATGACTGGCATGGCAGCACACCTGTCAACACACTGCAGGTCCCATGACACTCAGTCTCTAGCTTTCCAGCTAGCATGCACGCACACACACACACACACACACACACACACACACACACACACACACACACACACACACACACACACACACGGCACATGGATGTACTGTAGGAATGTTGCTACAACTACTAATACTGCTGTTGCTGGGTCTGGCACTGCAATGCTTGTGACAGCACTGCTGCTACAGGCACTGATGCTAGCAGCACTGCGGCTGGTTATGCTACTGCTGTTCATACATTTCTTTTAAACTACCGTATTTTACCGGTTATAAGTCGACCCCCCCCCCCCCCCCCCCCCCGTATCCGGAGGTCTTATTTATGTTTTTAAAGTTTTTGCCCAACGAAGCACTGCTAACCACTCCCTGCTACTAACACATGAACAAATCACATAAACACTCCTCATTGGATTCTGAAACATCCCAATCCTTGAAAAAGGCAAATAAATTTGGCAAAAATGCATACACATGGTGCACTCGTATTCAATGCAGGTCATTTTTGGAAGATACCGATAATTCCCGGTTATAAGTCGAATCCCGGTTGTAAGTCGACCCCCACCTTTTCTCCTGATATTTTCAGTCATAAAAGGTCGACTTATAACCGGAAAAATACGGTACTATTAATATTCGACATGGCGACCCCCGCAAGTCCACGTAACTGGCAGGGCAGGATTGGGCCTTTTTTCTCTTTCTTCAACACTGTTGCAGTGCTGTTCAAATGCTATCGACAAGCTGAAAGAGTACACACGTACAAGAAAAAAACTGTTTATACATGAACTGCTGTGTAAGGTGTGGTCTGAGTTTTGAGCTGGCTGTCTAATGTCTGCTCGTCAATCATGACAGGTGCATTCCGTGAAATGACAGGAGAGACGCCGTTGGGACGCAAGAGGCTGTCAAAGGCCCAAGACATCAGCTCAGAAGATGGGACACACACATACACACACACACACACACACACACACACACCTCAGACCTCAGACATGCCCATCGCGGAAGCGATGATAGCGAACAGCTATGTTAGACATAGCAACTTGTGCTGGGAGCACACCATTCAACAGCTTGCAAGGCTGATGAATTGACCGCCACTATTTTTAGCCTGGTATCCACCACACAGCTGTTTGAAGTGACTTACACACACACACACACGCACACACACGCATACAGACAATGCACTACAGTAGACAGTGCTGTAGAGTGTTGCAGTACAGAACAGGACAGTCACAGTAGCAAGGGTAAACACAAAACTACTCTCACACACTCAAACCGTAGAATAGTAGCGGCTGCTGTTGCCAGTGTCTGTACAGTGAAGTGGAATGTATGAATGACTCGTGCAGCTACATGCTATGAACACCGCACAAGTGCAAGAGGAAATCTCTACAAAACTAACTAATCATACAGTGTGGCTGCAGCTACCTGTAGCTGATCTCTCTAGCTTGCTCTACTAGCCAGCGTTGCCTGTTCTAGTGTAGCTGTTGCTTTTTTCTACTGTGGGTCTGACTCGGCAGCATGGGGGCCCTAACAAGCTCGCTTCCTGCTGCGGTGAAGAAATACCATGACCGTCTGTGTGCTGCCTACAGCAACGTGCAGTTCTGCATCGACGGGACCAATGAAGAGAAGGAACGCATCTTGCAAATGGACGAGCTTTACGCTGATCTCCATGTGGTGTCCAAGCAGAAGTTGAATACCAGGATGCGCGAAGCAGAGAGACTCGGCACAACTGCGGGCAATGAGCAGCTGGCTCATTCATTTGCGTCTGAAGCTAGGAAGCTGCACAAGATGAAACTTGCTGAAATCCTCACTGTCAAGAAAGCCATGCGAAAACGCATGCGCGGGAAAACCTTCCGCACCATTGCCTTCTCATCGGCTGGAGCAGGCAAAACCATGCTCTTCACCAAGAAGGGTCCGTATGAATGGGCAAGAGGGCAGATCTGGCCAAACATCGCAGTCCTGCGTGCACTGGAGCTGCGCTTGGCAGAAGTGCGCAATATCACAAGCATTGCTGAGCTGCTGGATCTGCAGAACCATGGTATCACAAAACCAGGTGAGCAGGCTGAGGTCATTGATTTTGTTTGCAATCATCCTGAGTCTGTCTGTATTATTCTCGACGGATTGGACGAGATCAAGCTCGCCGACTGCAGCAAGTTCATGATCGGCGTCATCCGTGGCAAAGAATTGCCGGGAATCAACCTGATCATCACGTCACGACATTCAGCAGAAGCAATGAAGCTGGCACAGAGCAGCGAGATAGTCTTCCATCGTCGTCTGGAGCTGCTGGGCTTCGAGAAGGAGGGTTTGGAGCACTACATTCGCAATGTCCTGTCTCCAGACGATGCAGCCAAGTTGCTAGCAGAGCTTTGCACCAACCCGGAGCTGGCCACAATGATGCGCACACCGTTTTTCGCCCAAGCAACATGCAGCCTCTACCGACACAACCATCGCCTGCCAAACACGCCGTCAGCAATCTTCAACTCGCTGATCCTTCATATTCTACGACAGCAGAAATCAAAGCCAGGGCATGATGGTGAGCACTACACCGATTGGGACGATGTTCCCGACGACGTCCAGGAAAATCTACATGATCTCTCCCGGTTCGCTTTTAACATGCTCGTCCGTCGGAAAGTCGTCTTCACCGATGCCGATTTCAAACTATTTTCACTGTCGTCGGCAGCTCGCACACTCGGCATGCTCATCGCTTGCGACACGGCATCACCACAGTCCAGGACTCAGTGGCGTTTCAGCCACCTGGCACTTCAGGAAGCTCTAGCATCTCGCTACATCGCTAGCCGGAGTCCAAGTGCAGCTGACGTCGCCTGGCTTGTGCAGCGCCTTGGAGCATTCACAGGCAGCCTCAACATGTTTTGGCGCTTACTGGCCACTGAGCTGGACAGTGAGTCGGTCAATGTGTTGATTGAAGCCATTCTCAATGCGCAGTCCACGTCACAGGATACCGACCAGCATTCCACAGGAGCAGAGGGGCACAACGTCAGGTGTTTTCTCTTCACAACACACGACCACATCATGGAATGGGCCAACCACGTTTCCTCCTTTCTCTCGCTGGACGAAGCAGAGCATCTCGCAGAAACATTACTGGCTGGCAGAATCGACCTGGCGTCTGCTTCGGAAGTGGTCCGTCGCAAGATTGACCCCGCCGTCACCAAAATCACCTGCCAGGATTTCGTTCGTTCCTTGCTAACCATTTGGACGGATCGCGTCCCGAGTGCCAATACACAAGTTCTGCACGACTGCCTGGCCAACGAGGCACAGGGATCGGCCATTCAATGCTTCACCATCACTCCCACGTCCAAGCTACCTCCAGTTCCTCCATCCGACGAAGCAGCTCAGCCATCTGCAGCCCAGTACTACGTCAGTGCCGCGGAACGAACGCAACGAATACTCTACGCCTTCCGGGTCTTCGCCGAGCACGTCAACGCCCAGCAAAGCAGAATCGATGATATCCCCAGCATGCAAGCCATCATTAAGCAGTACGGAGTGGATTTCAACGAGGTTCCTCTCACACCATCCGACTGCCAGGCCGTCAATGCAGTCATGATTCACCACCACCAGTTCATCACCAGCATCAACCTGCAGAACTGTGCTATAGGTGATACAGGCTATGCATGCATGGCTGATGGCATGGCTCTACTACGCAATCTTACGATCATCGACCTGCAGGGGAACAACCTCACAGATCGTCACACGGCCCATATCGCAGCGTGTATCGCATACAACACGTCAACACTGCGAGGAGTCTACACATCCTGGAACGCCTTCAGCAGCAATGCTATGGCCACCGTCCACAGCAACACACACCGCTGTACGCAACTGCGCAGAGTGAGCCTTGGAGGTCAACAGTGCACCGATCCAGCAGTCAACCGTGACGTCATCACGACAGTGTGCAGCAGCTGCCCAGATCTCCAGTACGTCTGTCTCCGTGACTACGTACTGGATATGGAAGGTCTAACCCAGCTAGCGCCATTGTTAGGAGCACTGAGGCTGAGATGGCTGGTGCTGCGCAAGGTTGGGATGAAGCAGAACTCCGCTACGATCATGAGTTGAATCATTCAACAGCAACACGAGAGTTTGGAGATCCTCTCACTCAGTCGCAATGAGCTAACTGGAGATTTCCTGGAAACTGTTTGTGGTGCTCTAAGTCAGTGCGGACGCATGAAGCAGCTGTGCCTGGACGACGACTGCCTCTCGCCGGGTGCTCTGCCAGTGCTTGCGTCCCTGCTGCCCAGTCTGCCCAAGCTCTCCGTGCTCAGAGTGGCGAGGAATGATTTCCGAGCTGCTGACGACGAGGCAAATCTGTTCGCTGCGGCTGCTGAGAGCTGCTCGTCTCTGAAGGAGCTGGTGATGCCTGAAAGAGCTCTAGTGTCTCCACGGCTGCTTGAGGCTCTTAGTGCCATGGCCAGAGAGGATCTGAAGGTGCAGCATAACCAATTTCGCTGGTACGACGAAGTGGAGAATGACGAAGAAGGAGACGAGTACGACGATCATTGAGATAGTGAGAGTGAAGAATGAGGCGGTGAGAGAATTTTCAAAGACGGTTTGTGTCCTGATGAAGACAGCTTCGTGTTGGTCTATCGCTTCTTCCTGGCATACAGACCGTCTGTGTCTGTTCTTTGGAGTGCGCGTGTGTATCCGTGTGTGCATGTGTGTGTTTGTACGTGTATATATGTGTGTGTATACTTGATCGTGTGTGTATGTGTGTGTGTGTGTGTGTGTGTGTGTGTGTGTGTGTGTGTGCGTGTGTGGACGTTTGTGTTTCGGCTGGACATTCCTTCCTTCATTTTCAGTCAGTTTGAGTACTCACTGTGTTGACCTTTGACCTTTAGACTTTGGACCCTGTTATTGGATGTTTTCACTTCATGATTTTTTCCGATTACTGTGGAATTTCTGAGAGATTTTATCATTGCATGATTTGTATTCGTTGACGTTGTTTTAGGGCATGATCGATTGGGCGAATCTCGAGCAAGTGTGCTCGGAGTGAGCGTGATCGTTTGGTCGAATCCGATCGAATCCGGAGTAGGTGTACTTGGAGTGGAATCCGACCACACCGGCCCCCACACCGGGAGTGGCTGGAGTGGAAATGGACTTTGCCGTTTTTGGACAGCTTTCACAGAATCTTTGTACGATGTGCGTACATGTTGCGTACTACGCCCTTGTTTTGTTCGGTTGGGCCAGCGTTGCTCGGACCACACCGCCTGCTCGCACTCAATCCAGATTCGCCAATCGATGACACGCTTAGTTGATATATGTGTGATCACTTCTTTACATCTACATGTACACACATGCATACACTGTAGGGATGTTAGACTGTTTTTAGACGGCTTTAAAAGGGCCGGCCGTAAATATCGAACTTTTTTCACCAAACGAATTATTTTAGTTTAGACCCAACCCCTCCCTCGCCTCCCTCCCTCCCCCTCAGAACGTAAAAAAAAAAGTTGAACTACGTGCATATACAACGGCCATGTACATGAATCAATGTTTTCTGAAACGAAATTGGTCAACCCCCTCCCACCCCATAACGAAATTATTTCGCTTTGTGAAAAAAGTTCGATATTTATGGACGACCCCCTAGTGAATATTGTTTGTTGTATAGAGTGAGTAGAAAGGAGAGAATAGAAAACACAGATGAAAATGATCATTGAGAACTGATATTCCTAGCATCGTCACCTTGCCACTCACATGGTTCTCACTTCAAGTGCACAGTGCAATGTCTTAAATTACTGGCCACAGGTGTAAGCGAATCCATGCGGTTGATGCATGCTAACAAGAGTACATAACCCCCAGAGTGTGCAACGCCTGATCCAGCTCTGCATAGGGTCTTGGTCGAGCGTAGTCGGATCTTCTGATGTCATGCGTACACTCCACACCGGCGCAAGGCCGGTCTCGAGGCAGGGCACCGTTGTTTTTGATCCGAGAGTACCTGCGACTCCCCGGGTTCCCCTCAAATGTGTACGGTTCTATGACGCAAAGATCCGACTACGCTCGACCAAGACCCTATGCAGAGCTGGATCAGGCGTTGCACACTCTGGGGGGGGGGGGGGGGGGTATGTACTCTTGTTGCTAACATCACAAACCACACACGGGGATACGTACGGACTCATTTATGCACAGGACTGGCCAAAATCATCCATCACATCACATGTTTGGCATTAAGTGGTCTTTGTAAAAAAAATAATAATAAAAAAAAAAAAAAATCCAACCTCATGAATAAAATAGCATTGCCGGGCGCTACTCATCCCTAGCACTAGTACACACACTGCAGGTCTGTGAACTCTAACAAGGCGCTACTTTATTCATGAGGTTGCACTTCTCTGGCCGGGACTCTAGATGTGCAACAGTAATACTGTAAAACGTGTAATTTTCGTTGTAACTTTAATTTCGGTGATTTCGGTAGAGAAACCAGGCACCTAAATTTAGATAACACCTAAAAGCCTCTAGAGCATGCACTGTATGTGTGTGAAGGGAAAGCTGGTCACCTAATTCTACAGTACACCTGAAACCTGGCAGGTCTCTGGCACCGACATTTTAATGCACCTAAAATTACATGTTTTACGGTAGCTCCTGGGATGTTGTGGTGTTCGGTGACATGTAGGGGGGGGGGGGGGGGGGGTGTTGGTTTCCGCCCAACATTCCAGTCTGTATGTTTGCACTATCAACGTGCCTAGTCTTAGCTAGGTTTTCCTGTCAATTGCTCGCGAATAGCAAGGTCCCTGGTTCGAGTCCCGGTGGTGTGACTGATGATTTTTTCTTTCTTTCATATCTGGCTTGCAAGTGTTGAGTTTCGGAGAGAAAAGAGCAGTACGTGGCATGTGGCCTCTAATTTCCTAAAACTTTGCAATTCTCCGTGAAGTCCAAATTTGAAATTGCAAGAGATACAGTGACAGGAAAACCTAGCTAAGACTAGGCACGTTGATTCAGCTGCATGATTCCAGCTGCAAGCTACAGTCCGTTTCAAAAAGATTTGCAATCCTGGCGATCGCCCGCGGAGTTTGGCGTCTTACCGTATGAGCACTCGAGCGCTGCCTGGAAAAACTCACTGTGAACTCGAAGAAATATTCCGCGCGAAAGCAGGAAAAATGACAGCTACAGTATGACTCTTATCCACGGTGATGGTAAATCTATCCTTCTTCGATCAATCCATATCTGGCTTGCATCATACTGGCAACTCACACCAATCAAGA